ATCATCATCATCATTGTCATGCCAGACAAGGTGTGTTTTTGTTTTGTGTGTGTGTGTTTTTTTTTTTTTTCAGTGCCGTGGGAGGCCAGCGAGGGCACTGAGTGAGCGAGGTGTTATTGGCGGCCATAAACTGTTGTCGCTAAAATCCCTGCCTAGTGCCAAGCACTGCCAAGCACCCATCCGTCCGTCCGTCCGGCGATACAAAGTTATCCTCCTCTCGACCGACACACTCGCATAACACACCTGCGACTGCGTGCCACAGTGCCACGGCAGGCCGAGGCCCGCGCGGAGGCGGTGGAGGCGGGCCTCGCGAATGCGGCGAGCAGAGCGAGAGAGAGAGAAGAGAGAGAAAGGGAGGGAGAGAGAGGGCGGTGGCTGAGTGAGCGGGGGAAGGTAAACAAACACCCCGACGCGACGCCGGGCCGGCTAACGAACGGTCAAAACATGCAACAAATAATGAAGAAACAAATAAACAAAAGGGCGGCGGAGGGGGACAATATTATTACCATTATAAAGTAGAAAGCACCACGCCGCGCCACGGCCACGGCTACCTTGATCGTGTGGAGCGGCGCGCTGGTGTGCAGATCACGGTGGCCGTGGCGCGGCGAGGCGCGGCGAGGCCTGCCGGGGGTGTCCGCGCGGAGAACAAATGGCGAAACTTGTTGGCTCATCACTCCACTGCGAGACTGCGAGACTGCGAGACTCGGTGCAATGAGACGTCGGGCCTTTACCGGGAATCCACGGCGGTGCGGGCAGGCAGGCAGCCAGGCAGCCAGGCAGCCAGGCAGACAGGGGCACTGGAGGCTGCGGACGAGTGAAAAACGCGGCCTCGATTTGAAACTTTGAGGGACCGGTTGAGGGACGCATCAGGACGTCCACAAAATGGTCATAAGGGATACACTGCAAGTTTGACATCGGTGCGAAATACCGCCTGCCTGGATCTCGATTTTGTTCAAAAATCTGTCATGCATTTACGACGTGCCAACGTTTTCGATTGGCCCGAGATGGGCATGCGTACGAACGGCCTGCGAAGGGTGGGACCTTTTCAGTGGCGGTTTGAGGCAACCCCTCGACCTGAACTCGCCTACGCCACTGGCCACGACGTGAGATTCTGCTCCGCGCCCCGACCCCTCCGACCCCACCTCCGACCCACTGCGGCCCGGCCGAGGGCCCGGCCCGCGCCATACTGACCCATTCCCGGCTCTCATTCGCGACACTCATTTCTCCCAGGAATGCACATACCTCATTTCGCGCACATCTTTTATCGCCCGTCCGCGACTCCGCGTGTCGCGTTCATGGGTACTTGGGGGCATGCGACGCTCCGCGCTCCGCGCTCGCCGGGCCGGCCGGCCTGGCCGTCGGCGGGCGACGCGGGGCCCGTCATGCGCGCCGTCATGCGCTACACGCGGGGGGCGTGCCGCCGGCAGACTCGTCTTCGTCGCTCTGTCTCTCTCGCACCTGCACGCCGCGCCCCATGAGTGCGAGAGAGACAGAGCCCGACATCGGTCTGCAGGGCCGCCAGCGAGGCAGCCGAGCGGCTGTGCGGTGTGGTACGCGCGCATCTCTTGCGGTAGGAGTCCGCGGACGTGGCCGGGCCGCCGGGGACGTGGGAGGTCTTGTCCGCCGTGCTCGCCGAGCTGCCCGACAACGCGACTCCAATCACAATTACTGTCCGTTTTATTATTTCACACTTGGCTGAACGGAACGCGAGGCCTCGCTGCACTGCCTCGCTGGCTGCACCGCGAGAGGGAGGGGTCGTAAATCAGGGCACAACACCACAGTCAGTCAGTCACACGCCAAGGCATCGCCAAGGCTGCACAGACTGACTGCGGACCGGGGTCGCTCTGTCTCTCTCGCGCCGCGACGGAGCGGCCCGGCGGCCCGTCAGCGCGAGAGAAACAGCCGCTGTCGGGAATCAGTTCGCTGGCCGCGGCCGGGGCCCTTGAACCGCCCCGCGCCGCGCAGAGCGGGATTTTCGCGCGCTAGCCCCGCCGTGCCGTGCCGTGCCGTGCCGTGTCGCGTCCCCTGGCGGGCCGCCCCGCCCCGCCCGGAACCCTCCCCATGCCGTGAGACCGCGAGGCAGAGAAAGAGAGAAAGAGAGAGAGGCGCTGAGACAAAGGCAGATTCCCTTCGCCATTCCAGGAGCGAGCGAGGCGGCCGAGGCCGAGGGGTGCCTCGCCTCCCCTTTCTTCGGCCTTCGCCACCGTGGTGCGTGGATCCGCCCGTACCTGGGGACTCCGAACGGTGCTCTGCCTCTCTCGCACCCCGGCGGTGCGCCCCGCGAGAGTGAGAGAGAACGCGCCGTCCGGAGTGGCCTGGCGTGTTGTTCTTTTCCCCATTTCATTACGCGCGGCAACAATAGGGGAGAAGGAGCGGCTTTGTCTTAGCCACTGTGAGAGTTGTTTCCAATGAGGACTGGGGCTGGTCGCCCTGGTCGCCCCGGCCGCCCCGGGACGGAGGCGTCGCCGCGCGGTCCCGCGTGTGACACTCCCGCGGCGTCCGCGGCCATGAGGGTCATGATCGTGAGCGGGGAAGGCGGCGGCCTCAGGGTGCGAACGGCCGCCGCCCTTGGCCGCCGCTCGTCCTGGAGGGCATCAGGCAGGTCAGGGGGCGCGGCGAGGGGCGGGCTCGCCGTCGTGCCCATCCGGGCGGAACAAGTTAGCGAAACAGTGATGGTCCAGAGTCCAGGCCGCGTCGCCTTGGCGTCGCCAGCGCGGGCCTCCCTTCGGCTAATCCAAAACCTGAGGTGCCGCGCAACCCCGCTGCCTGCCTGGCCGTGGCCTGGCCCTGGCCTGGCCCTGCACCCTCCCTCGCTGCTTCCTGGTGCCGATTCACCCTCTGCAACGGGACGGCGACGTCGAGGAGGCCGAGGGGAGGGGAGGGGAGTCTTAAGATCCATCGGGGGCACCGGGCCACGGCGGGCGGGGCGGGCTGCGGTGCAGGGGTGCGGCGCGTTGCGCGGGACGACGCGGTCCTCGACCCGGGAACCCTCTACTCCCCCTCGACGTGTTGCAAACCGAGGCCGTCTTGTGTCGCCGCCCGGCAACGGCGAGGCGGGAACCGGGGGCGGTCCCGGCAGGCCCAGCAGGCCCGGCGGGGCTGCAGGGCGTTGAGGGGTGTGTGAACCAACCAGCTGGCGGCGGGCTGGGCGCGAAAAGTATAGCCTCACCGGGCCTCGCGGTCAGCCCCGCAGAAGACCGGTGGAGGCGGCCAAAATGCCGGACGTAGTTTGAGCTCCAGAGTCGCTATAATGGTACTCGAACCGAACGTGACCCTACCAATGGATATTGCTCTCCGAACGAGAAATCCATTGGTGGGGTCACACGTTCGGTTCGAGTCCTGTTTGGCGACTCTGGAGCTCAAAACGCGCCTGGCCCACCGTGCGTTGGTGCCGGAGTCCAGCTTGGCGGTGCCGCTTCGAAATTGAGCCAATCAGAGACACGACCGCGGCCCGTTGACGAGTTGGCCTCCTAAACCCGCAAGTGTCGTGGCGTTTACGGACGGACTGCCCGCGGCCCGCGCCCTCGGGGCCGTGGCGGTGCCGTGGCGGCGCTGTCGCCGCGCTGTCACGCCGTGCTGGAGCCGAACCGGGACGGCGACGGCGACGGCGAGACGGCCGGGACGTAATGGACGTGCCGCGGCCCTGCGGGTCGTCATTCATCAGGTTCCAATCACGGCCTCGTAAGTCACACCGCGGGCCGCATCGCGCGCATCGCACGCATCGCGGCACGGCGTCCGCCAGGCCTCGCCAATTACTAAAACGAACAGGCCGGCCTGATACTCGATCCGAGTGTGTTCAGTTTGTAGGAGCCCTGTCGGATTCGGAAACGAATGGCCGGCGGCGCGGGACAAATGTGCTGGAACTGGAACTGAGGAACCATTTTCGGCCAGCCCTCGCCGCCTCCGGGGCTTCCACCTCGGCTTCCACGGCCCCGGGGGGCGTCCGCAAACCCCGATAAGGCGGGCCCGCTCCGCTGTCTCCCTCGCACCCCGCACGCAACGCCCCATGAGGGCGAGAGGGACGGCGGCGTCAGCCTGCGTCGAGGCCCTTTGCCCCAGGACGACGCGAGTGTCTTGTTGTTCCGGACACACGTTGCAATATGCAACGGCGAAGGTGATCGATAGCCGTCGCACCGCCTCCGGCAAAGCCCTCTCGGCCCGGACGTCGGCGCAACCACTCCGCAACCACTCCGGAGCCGTTTTGGGGAAGTTGGCGGCCCCGGGCCTCAGCCTCCAGCCTCAGAGGGCGGCACTGTCGTGCTCACCCACAAAATATTGGTGTTTCTGGACTTTCTTGTTTGCTGAGACCCGTGAAAGTATTTAACGCGGTTGCCTTGCCCGCCTGCTACTGCTCACACACTCACACATACACACACACACTCACGCACACACAAGCCGAGGAACGTTAAACACGATGTGGCATGCGGTGCGACAGAGAAAGAGAGAGAGGCACCGCGCGAGGGGGCCGTCGGGGCGGGGCCGGGCGTTGGTCAGACGAAGACAGACAGCGTCCCACTGATTGTTAGGTAAAAACCGGTCGAGGCAAAGGTGACGGAGGCGGAGGGGGCGGGCAGGGGGCGGGCGGGGGGCGGGCGGGGGGCGGGCGGGGGGCGGGCGGGGGGCGGGGGAGGCAACGCCCTGCCCGCCGGAGCCTGAGGAGGAGGCCTCGCGGGGCCGAGCGGCCGAGCCGCCGCGGGAGCGAGAGCGAGAGAGGCAGAGATGGCCGCGGAGGGGGAGGGCGGAGGGCGGTCCCGCGGAGTGCCTCCACGGCTGGAGGTGGCGGGGCGGGCGCGGGGGGCGACGCGGGGGGCGGCGCGGGAGCGGGAAGGCGGCGGGGAGAGCGAATGGCACGGCAGCTCGACGCCGCGCCGCCGCGCCGCGCCGCGAGTGAGGCCTGCCTGCTGCCTGGCTGCTGGCTGCCGCTCAGCTGAGAGGGTTCGGGCTGCGGCCGCTCGTGGCGCTAGCGTTGCGTCGCACCGGCCGGGCGCTGCGCCGCTCTGCGCCGCGCTGAGGCTCCCCTGGCTCGAGGAGGGGGACCGGCTCTCAGTTTGTGACAACAGCCGCCGGGGACAGTACGGCCGTGTAGCGCGCTGCGTGTCGCCCGCCTTCGTCCTCACGGCCCGCTTGTTCGCGAGCCTCGCGAGTCGAGACGAGACCCCAGTGTGAGGCAGCATCCTTGGAGGAGCCTGCCTTGTCTTCGACGCCGCAGCCACAAGCTTCGACAGTGACTGTCGCCTCTCAGTGCTCGAAAAAAAAGTGTGTGTGAAAGTGAATGACCAACACCGTCGGGTGTCAGTGGTGTTTAGTGCTCGACAACAGTTGCCGTGCCAAGGCAAGGGATTATACCGCTGTGACGTGCTTCCCCCGGTGCTGTCGACTTGTTGACATCGCTTGTTGACTATGCGTGCCGCCGCCGGGTGCAAGCGCCAGGACTAAACGCAACCGTCGCCGGATTTGTGGCCGTGGAAGGTGAGTGTCGGTGTTGTCACCCGCGTGTTGTGACAGTGACGGCGTGCTTGACGGGCCGGCCGGTCGAGCCGCCCAGCCTTGCCCAGCCTCCGCCCGGCGCGGACTTCCGGACTTGGCGTTCGCCGCGCTGCCGCCGCGACGCGTCGTAAAAGTGCGCGTTGCCAGTGGCGTGCCGGCGGCGTGCGGCGTCTTCGCCGAGAAGGAAACACCGCCGCTATCTAGCCCGGTTGGATGACTAGCCGGGGAATGCCGCTAGCTTATCTGGGCCGTCTGCCGGGCGCGCCGCGTCGTCGCGGTGCTGCTGCATGCTGCTGGCGCTGACGGGGGCGTTCGGCGGGGGCGTCGCCTCACGTCGCCTTGTCGCGCAGGAAGCTGCACTCTGATTCCGACAGTCGTTACTGTCTCCCTCGCACCGTTACGGAACGCCCCACGAGTGCAAGGAAGACAGAGCGACGCGCGGAATCAGTGTGCTGGTTCTCCTGCCGCCGGCCGGCGCCCTCGGAAGTGGTGTCGGCGCGAGGCGCTGGGCGCGCGGAGTCTCGCGGACGACCCTCCGCTCCGCGCGCCGCCACGCCACGCCGCGGGGGCGGGCTGGGAGGCCGGCGGGCGCTACAGGTGGTCGATAGAGTGCGTAGCGCGTAGCGCTTCGCCGTGCGTAGCCACCCTCCTGGCCACCCTAGCACAACCAACCCTCGCTACGCCCCAAGGTCGGCGCCCGGCCAGGGCTGGCAGCCAGGCGCGCGGGGTGGCTTTGCTTTATTAGCCGCCGCTGGAATGCCCGCGCTTTGCCTGTTATTTGGACGTGTTCTGGAACACAGTGGAATGGCGGCGGCGCCGTTATTGCTTTGGCGAGGGCCCCGGGTTCAACTACCGGCGGCCGTGTCGCAGTTTTTCTTTCGCCTTTTCGCCAAGCTTTCCTGCCGCGCTGTGCGGTGCGTGGCGGCGCTCGGACGACGTGAGCCCCTCTCGGCGTTTCGGCCGTGCGGCCCGTCGGGCCGTCGGCGCGGCGACCGGGTTTACCTTTTTGATGGGCAGCCCGATCCGTGCCCTCCTCTTGTAAGAATGAAAATGACGCCTATAAATCTTTTCATTGACTTAGGGCGTCATGGTAATCGGGGGGCGGCTGCGTCCGCGCAGTCCGCGCTGCGTCCAGTGCGCGTCCCGCTCCGCTTCGGACGCGCTGCTCGCGGCGTTTCCGCCGTCGTCCTCGTCAGTGTCGCCGTCATCGGCCCGCGAACCTCGCGTCGGCAAGAGTACAGTGCCGTGGACGCGGCGCCGGCGCGAACTCGCGCGGCCCGACTCTTTGTTTTTTGTAAAAATGTGGACCAGGTGCCTGTGGCTGGTTCGGGCGGATATGAGGGGGTAGCAATTATGTCGTTTATGCTGCGATTACGGCGAGTCCCTCGAGTCCAGTCGGCCGGCCGGACGACCCGGGGCGACTGGGCCGAGATATATCGACAGGCGAGGCCTAGGGGGCCTCGGCCACGGCGGCCATGCGACTGCATGCCGCGGCCCTGGAGGTGGTGGAGGTGGTGGGGGAGGGAACCGCAAATTAAATACAAAGTGCACCCAATAAATCGTGCAAGTGTCGGTATGGTTTGGACCGGGTCGGTGCGCTACGGTTCGGTGCGTGCGTGTGTGAGTGTGTGCGTGTGTGTCTGTGAGCGTCCAAGGCGCCGCGGCGCTCGGTGCGTCTGCCGGCTGCTCCGCCTCTCGCACCCCTGCACAGTGAGTGCGACAGAGACAGGACGACGGCGGTGTTCGGAATCCTTCTGCTGGACTGGAATGCCTCTCTGAGTGAGCGCGGCGGGCCGACGCCGGGGCGGGGCGATGTCAGTGTGGTTGCCTCTTCGCACAGTGTGCGCGCTGCGGCGCTGCGGCGCTGCGGCGCTGTCACGTGGTGGACATCTGCGTCCCTGCTGTCTTCCCGGCAGTTCCACACAGTGGAGCGGACCCGCGGCCGGCGGGCCCGGCAGGGGCCCAGGGCCCTACCGGCAGGTCGATCGAAGCACGCCTGGCTGCCTGCCTGACCGGCTGCCTAGCGAGGTGGCGCGCTCTGTCGGCCGGCGCGGCAGTGCGGGCTAGGCTGGTGGCTGCGGGGCCTAAAGGCGATGGGACGCGGCGCCGCCCCGAACGCCCGCCGAGCCGCACATCCCCTTGAAGCTGCACGCGCCGGCCGGCCGCCGCGCCACCCCGCCGTCCAACAGCCCCACCGCCCCACCGCCCCACTCGGATCCGGCGCTGCTGAGAGCCCTTCCCTGCGGCCTTCCCTCGGCCGGGAAAGGAAGTTGGCTGCGAATTTGGCTGCCGGCGCCACGCTTTTCTCGCTGGAATGCCTTTGTGTGCGGGCGGGGCGGCGGGGCTGCGGAGCCATTTGCCGGCCATCTGGGTGCCTCGCTGCGCTCCCCGCCCCGCCCCGCCCCGCCCCGCCAGCACGATGCTATCGCACCCGTGTTTTTCGCACCTTATTGCCGGGGTGCCGCTCTGCTGCGCTCCGCTGCTCTTGGCGCCCGGGGCGGCTTGCCTGCCCCGTCGCTCTGTCTCTCTCACTCTCATGCTGCGCCCCGTACAGGTGCGAGAGGGACAGAGCGACGACTCTCGGAACGAGTGTGCTGGCCGGCCGCGGTGATCGGTAGTGTTCACGGCCTCCTTGACAGCGCCGCACTGGTCCGCGGCTTCGCCGGCTTCGCCGGCTTCGCTCAATTTGCCGCTAATTGCGTCTCGCAGTGTTCCTGCATGCACTCTGGCCGGCCGGCCGGCCGGCGGTATGCGGCGGGCGGTGCGCGGCTCGCCACGGCCCGGCACGGCCCCGCAGAGATTAATGGAGGATGAATTATCGCGGCGGCGCCTCGCTGTGCGTTGCGGTGCGTCGCGGTGCTCGGCCGCAGGAAGAAGAAATGCGGTCCTTTATTTTGCTGGCAGCTCCCGCGTTGCACGCCCCCGCGCCGCCACGCCTTGGCACGCCCCGCCACGCCCCGCCACGCCCCGCCACGCCCTGGCGGCCGCCGCTCGGGTCCTCGGTCCACCCACCCACGCGCGGCTGGCAACCGCGGCGCGCTGTGCGTCGTCGTGGTGGCTGCAGCTGCAGGCTGGCGGCGGGTACAGTAGGCCGGGCAGCGCCCCCTCTGGGTCCTCTAGGCCCTCTCGGTGGCGGTGGGCGCGAGGCGCGCGATGTCGACGTCGGTGACGCTGGCGGACAGTTGGCGGCGCTGAGTGCGTGCCGCGGCTCTCCGCGGCGTGTCTTCGCGGCACCCACAATCATTCACTGTGTGTGTGTGTGTGCGTGTGTGCGCGCGTTTCGATTTTTCATTCTCTCGCCGTTGGTCCGCCCCCGCTTACACGGCGCGTCGCGTCGCGGGGAAAACAATATACCGTGGCCGCGTCATGGAAAGTGGAAATGGAGGGAGGGGGGGGGGATTGCACGGCCGGCGCCTAAGAGATTTTGATGGATCAAGATTATTTACGCTCGTATTTTAGCAGCGGAGGCGGCTCGGCCCGGTGTTTACTACGCCCGCCTTGTTTATGTGTGCCGCGCTTTCTGAGGAGGCCGGTGAGGGCGGACGGACGGACAGACAGACGGGCCGGCCGGGCCGGGATGGCTCGTCACCTGTTTAAGCCTTCATCATTCCCTGCAGTGGCGATGCATCACCCTGTCCCACCTCCACCCGCAGTTTATCGCTGTATCTCAAGTCGAGTGACAGTGTGTACGCGCCGCGAGAGTGTGCACGAGTGAGTGTGTGTGTGTGTATTCGCGCGGTGTCGTCACGTTTTATTCCTAGCGCCCCCTGGAAAGGCCGCCACACCGTGCCGTGCCGTGGGGGTAGGTTCGACGCTCGGGTCTTTGTTCGTGGTCGTCGCGTTGCCTGTTGTGGCCCGCTCGTCGCGGACTGGTTCCCGTCAGTGCGAGATACTCTCGACTGCCAATTGCTCGCCACTGGCTAAAATTGTGCGCAGGCCCTTTCTGCGAAGCGGAGCAAGCTGAGCGTCTCGTGGAGCCCCCACGGCGGGTCGGCCGGCCTCGGCTGGGCCAGGCAGCACCGCCCGGGGTGGCGCGGCCGAGTGCGGCGGTTGTGTGGCACTCGTTCTGGCAGAGGCTTATCCACTACTGGCGATCTTTGGCTCTAAACGTCGCTAAAGTGACCCCCCGTCCCCGTCGCGGACGTCTCGGTGCGCGCTGCGGTGGTGGACGCGGACGTCGCGTCTCGTCGCATCCGCGGGCCGCCGCGCCGTTGGGGGTCGCCGCACAGCGCGGCCGATCCCGAAAAACGCGGACATAAACGACTTTTTCAATTTTGAGCTACAATTGTTTCTATAGTGGGATTCGAAACTAGGATGATTCTTGCGTCTAAAAACAGTTTACTCATATTTTTGCACACCCGAGAACGTCTTCTGTAGCCCTTCAAAGATACGTGTTTTGGCGCCAACGAAAGGGGCAACATAACCTATACATGTTTTCAAAGCTTTTATCAAGTTCCTTGAGCCACCGAAGCAGGCCGCGCAAATGCCCCAGGTACAGCTCGATCCCTCGTCTTTCACGAGCAATAAGGAACTTTACCAATATTTGCAAAATAAGTATTCTAAATTAACTTTTTCCTGGGAGCCCGCGCGGCTTCAAATTCATATAGTTTCGATTGAGATATAAAATGATTCCCGGGGATTCCCGTCGTTTGGCGCACATCAAATTAAAGCTTGATACTTCCTTGATCGATTCCAACAAAGATTGGGCCCAGCACGCCCCAGCCGCAGCTGTGCTGAGCAAGTATGTTCCTTGATTTCTGCACTTGTCGCCATATTTCCACCTTAGTGGACGGGTCGGTATCGATACAACAATCACAGCAGGGACAGTCAAATTGAGTCTCCTCAAGTTTGGAAGGTCGGTGAATCCGTCCGTGACCGCATTTTTGACAAAACAGGGGCGGAACCAGGAACAAAAAGGGGGGTAAATTTTGAAATTTGACCAAATTGTTTAAAATTTTGTATTGGGGAGTTTTAAGGGTATC